ATTTTCATTCATCTCGAACTTCATCGCCTCCTAAACTCATTTCGGATAGCGATCTTCCACCCTCCTAGGTACATTAGCGCCAAATTTCCTTATCTGCAAATTCTCTTAACTTATCTCCCCTAATCACTCACTCTGAAGGCGAGTGATACGATAAATTCATTTTTGAAGAGAGAACATGTCCACATAACAGGATACTAAAACCCGAGTAAGTGGAAAGTGACTTGTATAGCGGCGAAGGCGCGCTGTTGCGGCCTGGGACGGTAGTAAAGTGCCATAGACTGGGAGTTAAAGGTGGTGAACTACGGCCGTAAACGGTGAATAATGAAAGGCGAGACAGCCAGATGACCCCGCTCTGAATGGCGAACTTCACTACATTCCTAGCAAAAGTCGCATCGCCATGGACTTGAACCATGTAATGCAGCGCCCATGAGCGCGACGTTTGCCACTGCACCACAAAGCATTGCTGGTTTTTGAAAGAATTGTAGAAAGCAAGGTAGTAACCTATGAGGGTTGCAAAACTCGAGTATCATGGAGAATTGATCCCGCGAGCGATCCAATGTCAACAAGGAACGAACCCACTGCGCCAATCGACGTGTTTGACGTGGGATCATGGCCTAGATGATTGTACAGTAGTGAAATGCTCCCGGGACCAAGGAAGGAGCTATAACACGATCAATAAGTGGAACACTGCGGGGGACAGCTGATCACCTTATTGGCAGAAAGTTATCAATATTATCGATAGCTCCAGTGGCTTTCTTGCTGCCCACACTCAACACCATTGTACAGAGGAGGGAGCTATAACGCGATCAATAAAAGGAACACTGCAGGGGACAGCTGAACACCTTATTTTCACCTTATTGGCAGAAAGTTATCAATATTATCGATAGCTCCAGTGGCTTTCTTGCTGCCCACACTCAACACCTTCCACGAACTCCCCTTCTTCCCTTCGCTCTGCGCTCCCACGAAATCAATAAGCATGGCAGGGACACAGAGACGCTCAATGCGACCAATGTGTGACGTGCAGAAAAAGGGGAAAGTGCATGGAGATTGCAGAGACGCAGATAGACGGCTACTAAAATGTACCCCTGAGTACTTTACGCAGAAGATCATGTGGACGGCCATTAAAATGTACCCCTGAGGTACATTTTAGTCGCCCTCTACATGACCCTCTGCGTCTCTGCAATCTCCATGCACTTTCCCCTTTCTCTGCCGGGTTCGCCGTCTAGGCAAGGTGCCACCTTATATACGTTGGCCACTTAAGATGTGGCCTAGACCTCGCCCACTGCGGCAGGTCAGCGCGAGTTTCCCGCCTTTCCCAATGCTTTTTAGGTGCGGACGAAGGCGAGGTCAACGTGACCTAGCGGCCAACTATAGACTGGCCGTTTAGGAGCTTCTGCTAGTATCCTTGGCAACGCATCACCGTGGCACGTGCCTGTCAAGCTAGGCCCACCTCAATCCCTCAATTCACCCGAACACTTATTTATGGGATAAGTGCAGGGATAGCCGAGTGGTTAAGAGGTAGACTCATGTCTGCACCTCTGAAAACCGCGAGTTCGATCCCTGCCGAGGCTTAACCATGCCTTGCAAAAATTGCAAAAATGGTTCTAGTACCAGCGTCAGGCCCAGGTTGACAGGCCGGCTGATGAACACCCCTCACACCAAACATGTCTAAAGTCGCAAAAGAATCAGTGATAAAGCTAGGACGTCACCCGGAAGTGGCGCGCAGAACCCCCGCCCGAGTTCTGTGGTCAGTATGCGAGGGCTACCGAGGAGTGAACGGCCTTAGCCAAAGAAGCTAGTTCGAATTGGGACTCTGAACGTAGGATCACTAAC